ATTAATGTCGAAATATTGAATCCCAACACGATGGCGTGTATTTCAATACTTGGAGTATGTATTATACTTTCTTATCTGAGATTAATCAGTGGACCTTTCGGTTTTTGAAATTTTATAGATACCCGATTACGGCAATTGGAAAATTACAACTTATGAAAAGTACCATCCACCTCAGCCCAACATAGTGGAGGCTGAGGTAAGATTATTGTTAGAATTTGAGACTTTTAGATGCTGGAAAATGACACAAAAAATCTACGAAAATTACTATATCCATCTGAACCACATCATGGTTGAAACTGAGGTGAAAAAATGTTTAGTATTAAGGACTTCTAGATGTCGGAAAATGGCACTTTAATACTTGAAATTTATGTCAGTTATTTTGTAACTTTTAAAAAGGGGCACACTTTTTTTTCAAACTCGGAAGGAGGATGCTCTAGCACCCTGAGCATCCTTCCTTGATACGCCACTGACTATCTTAACCAAAATGTATGACAGGGGCTTTTGGGATTATGGCCTATTGTTTGCATTTGCAATAGTTACACTTTGTAAGTTTATTTCTATAAATTGTTTTCAAACAGATGAAAGCTTAGATTTACACTATTATGTTGTGATAAACAGCAACAGAAAAATAATAGTCAAATGGATTTCAAAATATTCATTGTGGGCATATAATGAAATAATGTTCAAATGAGAATTCACCTAAAATTGAGCACATAAATTAAATTGCTTTTGCAAACCTGAAGTTTGGTGACCCATTTTTGGGTCATGACCCATAGTTCTGGAAGTGTGGATAGATCCATCCTTTGAATAGAAATTGTTCATGATGTTATTTTTATCTATACATATCTACTTAACATATTCACTGTGATTTAAGTTTATATTTCCTTCTGTTACATTTAGGATGAGAAGTATTACCTAAGGTCACTTGGAGAAGATCCAAGGAAGGTAGATTTTTATTTTTGGTGAATTGTCATACATAGAATACACAAACAGCATCACAATCTTCATCAGCACCACAGTAGCATCATTTTCATTTTTTTCACCACATGATATTGCTGCTAATGATTCAGATTTCTTTTCTTACAAAATTGTGTTATGATAATTGTCTGTTTTTCTTCGCTAATAGGATGTATCTAATTTTCATCAGCTGTTTCCAACACTATCAAATGACTTGAAAGAACCCAAGCTTTTTGATTCAGAAAGTTTTTTTTCTAGTGTCTTGAGAATTGGATCTCCTGGAGTACAATTATGGACCCACTATGATGTAAGTTAGCAAAATAATAAAGTAAAATTCAAATTCCTGGTTCAGACTAAACAATTTGTGTACTTACAGTAGCATATTCAGGATTTTGGAAATGGAGTGCTGAATAAAAATATTGCATCCACTGAACTATGGCTTTGGCAACACCTTGGTTTAAATAATATTCTCTTCCCACATCATGCCCTCCTATCCAATATATGATATTCCTAATTTTGAGGTGTTATTATCAATGCAGGTAATGGATAACATATTAATTCAAGTGAATGGTAGAAAAAGAGTTGTCCTTTTTAGTCCAAAGGATGCCCTCAATCTGTACCTTGTTGGTGAGTGTATTTTATTGGATATTGTTGCTTTATAAAGGTCCCACAAACAATTATTTAACAATACATTGAACTTAGCATGTGAAGTATATTTCAAAGAACAATAGTTTAAATTTTTTTTATGCATTAGACAATATTAATCATTTTTATTATTTAAAAAAATAAGAAAAATTGGCAAATATGTGTACAGCATGTACATCCATAGGACTGTATGTACTTGTCTAATTTGCATTGTATGAATGAGTTCTATGTGGATTGGACAGGAATAACCTGTCTTAACACATTGTCACAAATAAAAATTTAAGTAATTTTTACAATGCAAGGCATGCGAGTCCATTGGAATAAAGCGCACTCTACTATCCAGTTGGATTCACCCACGTTGGTGGACAGTGTCTTATGGTCTTTATGTGTATTCAGTATTGTTTTCTTCTTTCAGGTGATAAATCTGAAGTTATTGATATTGATAATCCTGATTATACTAAATATCCATTATTTAAAAATGCTACTTGGCATGAGTGCCTGCTGGAGCCAGGTGATGTCCTTTTCATACCAGGTAAGTCTTACTAAGTATGTAAACCCCACCTATGACAGTATATATTGATTAAAACATTCTGATTCTGCAGTTTTTAAAGTCCTTGTAAGAAACAAGAATAGTAGCAGATTAACCCTAGTATTGGCTTGAGTTGCTTCGTGTCATGGTGATACACTCACATTTCAATAATTCACATGATGGAAATCTTTTAATTTTCTTTGGAAATTTAGGGCTTTACATAGTTTAATACATATACTATATATAATATATATGCATATGCATATATATATATATATATATTTATATATATATACCCTTAAATTTACCCTTAGTGGCAGTATTTTCGCCTTAAGGTATTATTTCTAACCCTCTCCGTTGTTAAGGTTTCCCCCTATGGTAGTATATAGTCCTATATATATATATATACATATATATATATATATATACATATATATATATATATATACATATATACATACACACATATATACACACACACATATATACATACACACATATATACA